TGACCATCCACCTTACTCACCAGATCTAGCCCCAAGCGACTTCTTTTTGTTCCCTCATCTAAAAATTGCGCTCGGAGGACAGAGATTTTCGTCAAATGAAGAGGCAATCACCTTCGTGAACAATTATTTTGCAGAGAAAAACGCCGAGTACTATTTCGACGGGTTACAGAGATGGGAGCATCGCTGGGAGAAGTGTGTAGATTTACAAGGAGACTATGTTGAAAAATAAAAAACAATTTTCAGAAAAAATGACTTGTATCTTTGTTAGGTCGGAAACTTTTCAGACCACCCTCGGTATATACCTCGGGATCGTCGTGTTTCACAAAATATAAGAACAAAATTTTATAACTATCGTTTTTTCATATACCAGATAGCACAATCTTTCAAAGACGTCCCAAAGACATCCCTTCCCTTCTTAGGACTTCTAAATGTCCGTATAAGTCCTTAGGATATGCCTTGAAGATCTTCTGCTGTCTGGGATGGCATCTGTATATTTGACCCTGTATTATATTTTCGCTGTACATCAAACATTAAGAGTTTATATATGTAAAATGGAATATTACAGAAATGTAGATGACATGTGAGAACATTATAAGGTCATTAGAATGCAATTAGGAAGACTAAATTTAAATAAATTTGTAAACTACTTGGCTGCATACATATGCTGGCATGTATCTAATAAATAGGGTAAAGAAAGGTAACACATACACATGCTAGTTCTTGAATAATTTGTTAGAAACGTTAGTTCCGTCTGTTAAACTATATATTGATATTAACTGCCAATACTGTAAGCATGCACTGAAAGAAATTACACGATAAAAAATTAATAAATGGATATTTCCGATTAAAATACTGAAGAATTTTTGTATCCGACTAGGAAACATTCAATGAGAAATATCGGTTCATAATTTTTGGGTCGATTTATTTGATTAAATGTCATTAAGAGCGTAAGTATCCGATTAAATGGATATCTTGATTGGATATAAAAATTCATCTGTATTTTGATCGAAAATATATGTTTGTTAATTTTTTGTCGGATAATTTCTGTCAGTATATACTTCATACGACACTCCGACATTTTCTTAAGTATTAAATCACAGAATCCGGTTTCAGTTAGGATTTACTCTCGAGCCCTGAAAATATTATACTTTACGTCGGCGACGAAACTTCCGTGTCGAATTACTTGGAATAACGAATTCAAATCAACAAACGGAACCGCGATATTTATTTGCGAGCGATACGAATAAATTTGTGTTATTTAACGACGTCGAGCGGCTCGCTCGGAATTTCCTCCGGTGAGTTCGTCTACCTCGAAGGATCTTCGCCGAGGGTAGATCGACGCGGAGAATGTTAAAGAGACGGACGAATGTCTGGGAATGTACTCCTCCTGGAAACTCAACATTTACGACTTCATAACTTCTCTCAGGCACCATGAAGTTTTTGCCGGGGAGTGCATTGCACGTGTATAGAATTTTCTAAAGACGCTCCGTAAGGGAAGAAGCAACTCTATTTTCGCGCGACTCGAATATTTCCGCCACGTCGACGGCGAGCATACATTTTGACACGGAGGCTGCCATTGATTTGCGCGAAGTGGACGCCCGAAAAAAGACAGTACGGAGTAAGACAGTACGGAGTAAGACAGTACGGATCAGAGTATATAGTGCATAGTGAACAAGGCGCGTATCGCTCTTTAAATCTCTAATGTAAAGCGACCGAAGTTTTCGCAAACTCGACACTGTAAGATTCCTTCCTGGTTTTGTTTCGGTAGGTGTCAGAATTCCCGAACTTTCCTTCACCCTATCCGTGACGATTGTAAAATTCAATGTATCTTCGGAAACTTCGGGTATAAACCTGGGAATTTTATAGAGCGTCTCTCCGCCGAAATCCGGACGAATTTCTTTGTGGAAATTTGTTCGCCGAGCTATCGTTCGAATTATCATCGAAGAACTTATTTGCATGCGAGGGAGAGAGTTTGCGGTTCGGAGTTCCTGCATGGTGCACTTCGAGGGTTCGAGGACATTTCAAGATTCTTTAATGTTGAACAATTCAACAGTTGCTCGCGACGGATCGCGCGTCGATACCGTCGAGAAGCAGCAACTTTCCGCGATGCAATTTTTTCCAACGGAATTTCCTCCTCAGCAGGCACGGAAATAACTCTAACGTGGCCTCGCTCAGGAGCAGATACCGAGGGGCTAAGGCGGGGAAATGCGGCGATAACTCTTATCCTTCGTTCATTTGAGATTTACGATCACACGCTCAATTACGAGCGAGTATATAAATACGTTCGCTCGCGATAATTCGATAATATGGCATTCGTCGTTTCTCTTTGCAGGCTTCGCTTCCTTCTGCTCAATGCAAGGAAAGGTCCCGCAGGAGATGATAAACTAGGAATAAGTCATACACAAAGAGAGTATTTTATAATAAAAATAATCAATATCGAACAAATTGTTAAGAATTATTTAATAAAATTTTGCAACCCCATTTTTAATGTCGCCATTCTTCGATATATCGGTCTGCATTTGTTATCCTTCATATGTTCATATGTACTATTTATTTTATTGGACCCTGAAGTTTATTAAAAATTTAAACTTGAAAACATACTATTTTCCTTGGCAAAATAAACTCTACTAACAGTCCATTCCCAGTAAACACAAAGTATTATCGATGTTACAATGTCAGCACAATCATATGATATATTACGTAACCGTTACTTTGTTAAATAAAAAAGTAACAGTTACATAATATACCATATGAGCTGACATTGTAATATGGATGATATTTTGTGTTTACCATACAATTATTTTGGGTTACCATACAATTAGAAAACATGGAGATGTTCAAATAAATTTACATGAAAAAAATGACATTCTCTCTTTGTGTGTAAACTCAAACTATTCTATATCATTCTTCTCGAGATATATTGATTTTGATAATTTGTACGGGAATAAAAATGATACAGCATCCGGCGAAATACGAAGATTAATGAACAAGTAAAAAAAAAGTGTTTAGTATGAGGCTATAACTCTGCACGATAAAAAACACATTTTTGTAGAAAACATTACTATAACATTGCTGATAGAACTTTATATGCATATAGCTATTGTTATTTTTTTATTAGAACAACAAAATCATGGCAAATGCCAAAAATAATTAGAATTTCTAATGAGACTAACAATCTTTCCTTTCAGTGTTGTAGCATACGTAATTTCATTAGTATAATCATCGAACAAGCGAATCAATACAATATCAGCGCGATTTGGTATTATCTATAATTTAAAGTTAACACTATATATAACACTATACTGAGAGAAATTATCCGATAAAAAATTAACAAACGGATATTTTCGATCAAAATACCGATGAATTTTTGTATCGGATCAGGAAACATCTGATGAGAAATATCGATTCATAATTTTTTTATCGGTTTATCTGATTAAATACCATTATGATTAGAAGTATCCGATTAAATTTAATCGGATATCTTGATCGGATTTGACAATTAATCGGACATATCTGTTTGTTAATTTTTTATCGGACAGTTTCTCTCAGTATAGATTAGTGCGTCTACTATGTTGAGAAAAATTATCCGATAAAAAATTAACAAATGGATATTTTCGATCAAAATATTAATGAATTTTTGTATCTGATTAGGATATCTGATTAAATTTAATCGAATATTTTCGGTCATAATGGCATTTCATCAAACCGATCAAAAAATTATAAATTGATTACTCATCGGTGTTCTTTAATCAGATACAAAAATTCATCGGTATTTTGATCGAAAATATCCGTTAATTTGTTAATTTCTTATCAAATAATTTCTCTCAATGTACACCACGCTCGTATTCACTTTTTACTTTAATAAGTTAATTTAATTTTAATTAGACTTACACTTCAATCAGTTTTTGTTTATGTAACTTAACCACGCTAATTTTATAAGTCATATTAACTTTAAACTTAATTCACAAAAGTTGTCAGTTAAGAAAAAAAATTGATTTACCCAATCCTATTTACGCAGTAATCGAATTTCTTGGTATCACACACAATGTTCGTGATCTTCGACTTTGATATCCGCGTTTGATATCTCTCCGACGTTCCGCTTCGCTGAAATTTCTCTTTGCTCTCGTGTTGTACGTCTCAGGCCGTGTTCTACATTCGGCAACCCAAGGGCGCTCTCAAACTGTGGTGCAATTAGGATGTTTGCTTTGCGAGAGTGACATGGCAAACTGCGACGATTTTTCCGGTATCACGCTAGAACTCCGATCAAATCGAAGAGTCCCAGTGGGCATCGCGGTTGGTACTTCGAGCAGCTTCCGTTACGACCGATCAGTTCAGCCTCGAAAACGTCTCGCGGCAATTCCTCGCGTCTCGAGGTGCTCGGACTGAAAATCAGAAAATAATTCCGCGATATAATCGAGTCGCGATTACACAACGACGGGGGAACGTCGCGTCCCGACTGGAAGAATGGCTGGAGGCGGTTGGAAAACGATATCTTGCTGCAAAAAAAATCGTCATCCCGTGAAGAACGATTCCGCCAGTGGCGAAGCAGAAATTTTTGCACAATGTATATATACTACATGTATTGGATTTTGTTACATCGTTTCGCGACGATACGATCGGTTTATCGGAGTTTTATTTCTCTTGCCTCCTGCTTTCTCCCTCTCTTTCTGCATTTCTCTTTCTTTCTCGTCACTCTTCGCCGATTCGTCTTTCTTCCGCGACGCTCCCCCTTGTTTTGCATGCGAGTCTTCTCGCGCGAAGTGGGACAATAAATCTTCGGATATCTCCGAAGACGAATCGAGCAAAAAATATATTTTTCCTATCCCTACCAGGGTGATATTTGGAGTTTTCGGGCTGCGGGGATGAGGACGCATTCCGGTATCCTGCGGAATACCCAAAAGGTAATGTCCGTAGAAGTTAGAATCTGGCCATTCTTTGAAACTTTCTTCATTGGTTCAGTTTGCAGGTTTTTCAAAATAGCGATTATCGTGTTATATTATATTATGTTATGAAGTTATAAAGTATTTATAGGTTTCACTCTTTTGGAAAAAGATATAATTCTGAACATTCTTACTTTACATTTAAATTGTTATTGATTACAACTAATCTTTATTACAATGTTTGCGACAAGAACTTCGAACATTAATAACATCAAACAATAAGAACATCAAATAAACTATGGTTTGTTACACAAAGTAATGAAAAAAGTAATTTGAAACACGTTTCGCTTGATATGCAACGTACTTTGTCGACACGTGTCGTGTTTCCACCACATAAATATGCCATTTTGAGGGGTACAGATCTTTTAGAGACACAACTAAAGGGCACATCAACTTACTGTACTTGGAATTAATTGGAAAGTTTGCTGTCAGTACTTTTTGGCGCTAACGCTGTTCGGGTAGCTAGCCAATACTATCGTGACGTCATTGATGGAGGTCTTTTTCATCATAATCATTATTTCCGTGATGCACTTCTCATCGGGTGCATCCAGTACTACAACCGATCACTGAGCGTTCAGTGAGCTCTTTTAAATCCGGTTGGCATATTTCTTTAGATCCAGAAATATACACTAATCAGATGCAAGAGTTCACTGAGCGCTCAGTAAAGGTGGAGTCCCATGGCATGTATTTTCGCGTAACCGCGTAATCAATTACCAGGTATGTAAATATGAAACCGGAATTTTTGTATAGAAAATACACGTTTATTGTATAAAAATGATAAAAAATATTTTATTCGAAGTATTGCCCATCGCTAGCTATTTTTCCCACCTGTCTGACAATTTGTGGATGCCACGCCAAAAAAACTGTTGCTCTTTTGAGGCAAACCAGTCATCGAGTCATTTTCGTACATTTTCGTAAGAAGTGAAGCGCTGCTTAGCAAGTGCGTGTCCCATCGATGCAAATAAATAGTAATTGAACGGAGTCAAGTCTGGTGAGTAAGCCGCATGCGAAAGTATTTCCCAACTAAACGCCTCAATCGTTTCCTTGACCAGTTTTGCTGAGCGTGATGGTGCATTATCATGAAGCAAAATCACTTTGTGTTGCCTTTTTTTATATTCTGGTCGTTTTTCACGCAAAGCTTGATTCAAATCGATCATTTGTTGTCGGTAGCGTTCAGTATTAACGATTTGGCCAGGTTTTAGCAGCTCATAATAGATCACACTCTTCTGATCTCACCAAACACAGAGCATTGTCTTCCGTCCATAGCGATTTGGCCTTGCAGTCAATGTCGATGATTCGCCTGGAGTTACTCATGATTTTTTACGCTTAGGATTCTCAAAATATATTCATTTTTCATCGCCAGTCACAATTCGATGGAGAAATGATTTTCTTTTGTACCTGGCGAGCAGCATTTCGCAAGTGGTTTTTCGGTTTTCCTGCTGTCTTTCATTCAGTTTATGTGAAATCCATTTTCCCATCTTCTGGATCTTTCCCATGGCTTTCAAACGTATGGAGACGGCTTCTCGAGTCACATTTAATTGATCCGCGAGTTGTTGTTGCGTTTGAGTATCATCCTCATCCAACAATGCTTGCAATTCGCTGTCTTCAAACTTTTTCGGTGGTCTTCCACGTTCTTCGTTTCTCACGTCAAAATCGCCACTTTTGAATTTTTTAAACCACTCAAAGCACTGTGATTTACCAAGAGCATGCTTACCGTAAGCTTTGACAAGCATTCGATGCGATTCTGCAGCAGTTTTCTTCAAATGGTAACAGAAAATCAATGCTGTTCGCAAATCGTAGTTTCCAGGCACAAAATTCGACATGTTCAACGCTATTACAAACTATGCTGTTGTATGAAACTTGTATTATTGTGAGTTGAAAATCTTTGTCAGAGATGTCAACAAGGAAATGGCGCCAATGACGTGGTTTGAAGGTAACTACATTGACATCTAGGGCCATCTATGGGCAAATTCCGGTTTCATATTTACAGACCTGGTACATCTTTCTATTCTTTTAGAAATTTCAACAGAAATACTAAACGTCGCAATTTATTGGTTACGCGCTTACGCGATAGGCAGAAAATACATGCTATTGGACTTCAGCTTGACTTTCTAACCGTGTTCGTTTTAGGTATACTTTAACCATGTTCAGGGTTTAAATAGACCCAATGGTAAGAACTCACTATTTAATTGACATATAAAGCTGTTTGATAAAAATATTTGTTTGACTCGAATCTCTTTCCAGCAAGCCATCTTTTCAAGTTCGGGAACAAAAAAGTCACAGGGGGCTAAATCTGGCGAATACGGCGGATGTCGAAGCAATTCGTAGCTCAATTTGACCAATTTTGCCGTTGCAATTTCATCTTTGTGAGCTGATGCGTTATCGTGATGGAACAACACTTTCTTCTTCGCTATATGAGGTCGTTTCGCTTTGATTTTGTTGTTGAATCAATCGAGTAGTGCTGTTTGATATAAAACTCTTTGATCCAGGCAAGAAAAAAAACATTTTTTTTCGAAAATTCTTCTTTATTATTCAAAGTAGTTTCCTTCCTGCTCAATACACTTCATCCAATGATTTTCAAGTTTTTTGATACCGTCAGTATAATAGGTTTTGTCAAACCCTTCAAAATATGCACCCGTCTCCCATTCAACTTCTTTGTTTGACTCGAATCTCTTTCCAGCAAGCCATCTTTTCAAGTTCGGGAACAAAAAAAGTCACAGGGGGCTAAATCTGGCGAATACGGCGGATGTCGAAGCAATTCGTAGCTCAATTTGACCAATTTTGCCGTTGCAATTTCATCTTTGTGAGCTGATGCGTTATCGTGATGGAACAACACTTTCTTCTTCGCTATATGAGGTCGTTTCGCTTTGATTTCGTTGTTTAATCAATCGAGTAGTGCTGCATAATAATCTCCGGTAATCGTTCGACCTTTTTTTAAGATAATCGATGAAAAGAATTCCATGAGAATCCCAAAAAACAGTTGCTATCACTTACCAGCTGTTTTGCTCGCTTTTGGTCACTTTGGTGCGCTTTCACCGTGTTCTACTCATTGTTTCGATTGTTGTGTTGACTCTGGAGTGTAGTGATGGATCCAGATCTCATCAATGGTGACATATCTGCGCAGAAATTTGCTCGGATTACGTTGAAACAGCTTCAAACACGCCTCGGAATCATCAATTCGTTGTTGTTTTTGGTCGACAGTTAACGAGCGCGGTACCCACTTTGCAATCAGCTTTTTCATATCCAAATGTTCGTGTATGATGTTGTAAACACGTTCAGTTGAGATGTTTGCAATCTCAGCTAGCTCACCTTCACCTTTTTGCGATCGTTTCGTATTGTTTTGTATATTTTTTTTATGGTTTCCGGCGTAGTAGCCTCTTTTGGCCTTTCACTGCGTGCAGCGTCTTCAGTGCTCGTGCGTTTGTGTTTGAATTCATTATACTAATAAATTACGACTGATTTCGCTGGTGCAGATTCCTTATATTGTTTATTAAGCCATTCCTTTGCTTCTGTTGTATTTTTTCTTATCAGAAAGCAATGTTTTATCAACACGTGGAATTCACTTTTTTCCATTAGAGAAAAATCAAAAGTAGACTTGTTCAAATGGCTGTAAAACACACAATAATTGATAGATCTGTCTGCAAATTTACACTTAAGCTTCTAAAGGTACTCTTGACAAAACATAAAGTCAATATTTTCGTGGCGACATCTCTTGCCCGGACCAAAGACTTATCAAACAGCCTAGTATATGTATTTTTTATATCTTTTATTTTAGCATTATATAAACTAATTTAATACAATATGTACTCATTTTTTCTAAAATAACTCGAAAAGTCGCGAAGTATCACATTTGTATTTAGAATATTACAAAAACTGTATGAACTTTGAAACTGCTTTGGGTCAAAAAACATCCAGAGCATGACTAAAAGATTAAGTGGTTGTAATACTCCACCCATGGAGTACATCTAGTACTACAATTGCTCACTGGGCGCTCAGTGAGCTCTTGTACTTGCTTGGTGAATATTTTTAGATCTAAAATATTTCAATCGGATGCAAGAGCTCACTGAGCGCTAGATAGTAATACTGGATGCACCTAATGGCTGCAGAACTTCAGCGGAATTATTATGGAAACGAGCCAAATAGCAACACGGCTATCCTCAGTGACGCAAGAGTCGAGGACTTACCGCTTTAATGCTCCTTTTACTTCGAGATTCACCACGGGGCGGCGCACGGCTGAGCGTCGTTTTCTCGCGAGCAAAATCGCGCTCACAGGAGATAAACGTAGGGCGCTCGCGCAAAAGAATTACTTTTATCTTTTCGGACTTAGAGTTTTTCGGCACACAATTTCCGTAACTGTACACGTAAGACGTAAACATCTACATAATTTTCTATTTTAGGCATAATTTTTCCTTTTTTTTACATCTTTCCACAATTTTCAATAA